CATTCACAGAGAGAGAGAGAGAGAGCGGGGAAATTAGACTTTCAATGTTTGAGCGTTTTGTTGTTTTGATTCATGTTCTCCTCATATCGATGGTTTTAATGCAGTTAAATCTTGATGATGAGAGGAAATTTAATCAGCCATTATCATGTGATTGTACATTTACAGAAACTTTTTCAATTTAAGTTAAAGACGCACTCAGTTTTCTCATCTAATTCAGCCATTACTGCTCAAAGGTGAATGATGAGACAATTTTGCCTCCAAACAACATTTTACTCTCAAGCATTTACAGTTTAAAGGGAAGTTTCAAAAGTTAAACTGAAAAGTGAAAAAACTTTCTGCAGCTTTTTTTCATATGCAGCTCTTGCAGGGGTGTTTTTACATGCTGATCTAGGGGTGTCAAGGCCCCCAAAATTGCTGGCCACCCCATGAAAGTGTTGGCTTCAAGCAGTTTGTCCTGTGTTGGTCTTCATATTTGTGACCACGCATTTGAAGTGGTGGCTGCAACACTGTGGAACAATTTACCTGCTCATATTCATTCAGCTGGTTCCATTGTCACTTTTAAAAAGCTTTTAAAGACTCACTTACTTAATCAGGCCTTTACCTCCCCCGGTTTTAACTAATGATCTATTTATGCCATTGTTTCTTTATTGTTCTTTGATTTTACTTAATGTTTATGATTGTATTTAGAATTTTTTACTGTGAATCACTTTGTGAATCTTTTCTATGACAGGTGCTATATTAAATAAATTTTACTTACTAACTTACTAGCCAGGGATGCACCGAAAATTGGGCTACCAAAAATGTTCGGCAAAAATGGTCCAAACGTGCATTTTCAGTTTCTGATCTTAGTTTCCTCATTTTCAGTTTTCGGTTTCTGCGAAGAATTGTCATTTTGGTGCGTTCCAGTATGAACTCATTCAGTGTCAATGATGGATTTTGACAGATTTTTCTATTTTTTTGTTTTCCGCCAGAGGGCGCTGCTCCCCAACATGCGACTAAGTTTGGGGTCGTTCTGAACGCAGAAAAGCCGACAAATACATTTATAACCATGTTACAATAACAAAAACAAGAACTCGCCAGTGAGAAGTGTGCCATCAAGTGTGCCAATTAGCCGAGTTGTGGAGTGTTTTTTCTCTGCGACGAGTTCAGGAAAATGCCGAAGTCATTAGAGCAAACGGTCTCAGCGCATTGGCTCCCGTCGGCGTGGTGCTACCAGTGGATCCAGTGCAGATCCTGGTACCGGACCTTCATATCGTCAGCCGACAATTGAAACAATTTTTCGGCATGTCGTTCTGCCACCAGCGCCGGTACTGGTGATTGAAACTGAGCTGGAATTTAGCGACAGTCCTGGCGAGGAGGAAGCGGTGTGGTTGTGTGGTGTGGTTTACGTCACGGCGTCAGGTTCTCGAGAACCAATACGACTCCCAGCCGTAACAAAGTGACCTATCACAATCGGATCTTGAGAGTGATGAGGAGAGGTGTCCAAAGAGGGAGGACCTTGATACCACTGGTAAAGTAGTTTGAAGTGAAAGGAAACAGACGATCAGAGTTTTGCTTGAAAGTCTCTCCTTCATAAAAATGTGTTTTTCCAGATAAAGATGATATGACCACGCTGCATTGAGCAGCAATAACTAAACACAGGAGTGGATTAGAGACTAACTTTTATTTCTGATGAGAGAAGAGAATCACCCCTTTTCTTTTGAGATATTACACTTAATTCTAGTCCAAGAACAAGGTATTCTGTGGGTCCTGAAAGATACGGGAATTTCTATTGTGTTCAATGGTGGCACTGGGTGAAAATTGCATTAAATGAACCTGGTACTGAGTGAGTTAACAGACTAAACAGGCGTTCGGGGTGTGAATCTGTCTGACAGAACAGAGGCTGATGAAGGAAACAGGTTTCAAACCGTTAAATCACATTTAACTAAACAGTGACTTTGTTTGAGTTCAGTCTGCTCTCGTCCACTCAAGACCTTTTTTTCATCAGATCACTATCAGAGTCTGACCCACACCCACTCTGAGCCCACTCACCATAAACATCTATCATCTCAGGAGGACTTTGTTCACGTCTTTGTGCTCTTATTGTCTTTCTCCTCAGGATCAGGGTCGGTTGTGTTGCGCTGTCGTCTCTTGTGTACACGTCTTTCACACTGGAAGGTAATGACAACTGCAGGGACAACAAAGGCCTCAGCTGCAGCCGCCAATAAGAGTTATTTATTAATAGAATCCAAAAATAGACACTGAGTGGAGAGCAGTTCGTTCAGGTGAGAGAAGAAGAGCCTCTAAAGGAGCAACAAACACCAGAGGAGAGTTAGAAACTTCTAACATCGTGAAAGCCAAAAGGTTAAAAGAGCGGTTTAGTTATTTCACGTTTCTGATTTTGCTAAATTATTATAAACTCTTGAGAAAAGCCGGATGCAGATCTTTTCCGTCAGTCTGAGGCTACACGGTGCACCTGCTCTGACCGCTGAGATAAACCCATTCTTCGAAAACTTCATCTTCTCCAACACCGACCGTCTCTGACAGAACAGATCCTGATTTCTTTTTGACATTCGACCTTTTAGTTTCATCTTCATCAGTGGAAATGTTTCCAGCTAATGCCTTTAATCATTTCTGCTCGGCATGCTTCTCTGCAACAGTCACTCCGGTGATTTTCCTAAATTCAGTCTGTCAGCTTCGCCTCGACCTCCTTCACAAACACATCTCTGAGGGCGAAGACCTTTTCAGATTTATTTTTGTCTCCCTGAGACCGAAGTAGAAACGACTCGGTGGGTTTTTGAATATGAATGCATTCAGTCTGACAGGAAGGGGATTTGGTGCTGTACCGACAAAGACCTGGGAGAACATCTGACCTCTGACCCACCTGAGAGGGCGGTACGTCTGAAAACAGCAAACAGAGGAGCGTTAGTTTTCACCTTGATATCCTCCACATGTACGTTTTAAAGCTGCTCACTAAAGTTTCTTCAACACCCAGAAAACTCGTAAATCCAACCTTTGTCATTCGATGAATCAGGCGGAGAGTGAAGCCGTGTTTTTTGCATTTTTTATGATTTGTTGAATCATTATTTTTTTAACCACATGTCAGGACTGCAGGCAGGACTCTTCTCCTACAGAGCCGTGCTGTTGTAATCCCTGCAGAATCTGGTTTTTCATCGTCTTGCTGAAATGTGGTCTTTCCTGAAGAAGTCTTCGTCAGGATGGCAGCAGATGTTGTTCCTAAACCTGGAGATATTGTTCAGTATTCATGGAGCCTTCACAGATGTGGAAGATACCCCTGACATGGACTCAGATGATCCCCATACCATCAGGGTTCCTGGTGGTCCCTCTCTTTTATAGAGTGGAGGACTGAGCATCCATGATTTCCGAAACTGAACGTCACATTTGATTTATCAGAGTCCAAGACAGTTTCCCCCTCCAGTGAGCTCGGAGAAGTTTGCGTCCTCTTAGCTTCATGTGTTTACACGGTTTTCTCCTTCTGTTGTACGTTTTTCACCTACATTTGTAGATGCAGTGAGGAACTGAGTTCACTGACGATGATTTTGGAAGATTTTGGGTCCATGCGGTAATTTTCACTACAATGTCATGTCTGTTTTTTTGATGCAGTGCCGCTTCATCAGCCATGTTTACATCTGCAAAATTTCTTGATCCGGTTAAAAAATTGAGGGATCAGAAAGTCAGTGTTTATATGAGTGCAAAATCAAATAATCTGATCATGACGTGCGCATACATGCACTGAGTTTTATTCAGATTAGAAGCATTCGGACATGCGCAGAGTTGTCTGATTTCGCTAAAACTACAACTGCAGTTTTCCCTCTGTCAAATGTCGTCACTAGATGGCGCCCTTGTTTACTTATTTTACTGTTCTGTCAAAGGTTGTACTGTGCATGCAGATGTGACATCATTACGCTGTTTGAACGCCTTGTTATGTTACAGGAGGAGCAGACACGGCGCCTGCGGTCGTGTTTTTATGCCAAAGTCTAAAGAGTGAAGACCGAGTCAGGTTAGAGAGTCACGATCAGAATAAGTGTTCACATGGACACATTTCGGAATAACAATCGGCATAAACCACCCATCTCGATCGGAATACAATTTTTTTCCGATTGAGCCGAATTGGATCAGAATCTTCCGATCAACATGTTCACAGGAAGCTTCTTTATTCTGATTATTTTCTTTATCCTGATCGGAATAGAGTTTACACTGACATGTTTCAAAATAACGATCAGCATAAACTCCCCTCTTGATCGGAGTACAATTTCTTTCTGATTGAGTCATATCTGATCAGAATCTTCCGATCGACGTGTTTACATGACGCTTCTTTATTCTGATTATTTTCTTTATTCCGATCTAAATAAGTGTTCACATGGGTGCGTTTCAGAATAAGGATCAGCATAAACCACCCCTCTTGATCGGAATACAATTTCTTTCTGATTGAGTCAAATTGTATCAGAATCTTCCGATCAACATGTTTACATGACCCTTCTTTATCCGATTATTTGTGCCCATGTAAACGCAGCTATCTTGGTTTTCGTCCTTTTAGCAGAAATTTCTTTAGATTTTCTGAATCTGTTGATGGACTTCAGGCGATGACATCCACTCGTTTTATTATTTAATTTTACACAGGGAAACTTTGTTTAGAAAATGTTGCTCACACAGTCTCACAGAGCGGTGGACCTCTTTCCATCTAAACTACTGAGAGACTTAAAAACAATCTGAGGAGAGTATTTGAGAAAGGAGAGTGAGAGGATCGTGTGTGTGTGTGTGTGTGTGTGTGTGTGTGTGTGTGTGTGTGTGTGTGTGTGTGTGTGTGTGTGTGTGTGTGTGTGTGTGTGTGTGTGTGTGTGTGTGTGTGTAACCTAAATGTGATGCACACACCGTCCCTCTCCACCTCGGGCACACTTGGCGGGGAGCTTGTCCGTCCTTTCCACCAGAATTCTCGAGCAGACGTAGTTGAAGTATTTAAAGCGGCAGCGGGCCGGAGCGACATCCATCAAACTGCCAGAGAGAGCGTGAACACAGCAGCTCCGCGTTCGGCTCGTAGGCAGCTGTGTTTTACAGAGTGAAGCCGTGCCAGGCCAACAAGTGGCTCCTGAGCAGGGAAATAACACTCTGACGGCGCGGGTGGATGGAGAGAGACACGGAGAAGCATGAAGAACAGAGGAAAGCTGTTATAACACTGACCTTCGAGAAGCAGGTGAGTTGGAAAGACAGCCGGGCTGAGGATTGGGCATCTGTGTCAAGAGCGTGATCAAATATTTACTCCACCTTTATGATGCTGTAGACCAGAGTAAATGAGACTATTATGGGGCTTAATCTGGACACTTACTTCCAGGAAGATCCCCCTCACAAGGATCTGCTGCAAACATATCTCCACGTTTCATGGAAAATACAGAAATAATGATGTGAGGATGTTCGGGTTCAAACTGAAGTTTCCTCAGTGAAAGACAACATGGAAGCGCCAACAGCAGCTTCTGCATTCACTCCGCTTCCTCAAAGTGTCAGGAGTTGCTTGGCAACAGGCACAGAGGTGAATCTCAGTGTTAAAATGGTGGCATCGCTAAAGCAAAGAAACCGACCTCCCCGTACCCGAAGACGACTCTGATCTGCGGGGTCTGAATAAAAACAACAACAACAAAAAAAACCGAAACACAAAAGAGCCGCAAACCGCCGAGGCAGTTTGACTCCGAACGCAGGAGACCAGGCGAAGTTTTCTGGAGGAATACATTTGGGGTTCTTGGTGGAGGCGGTTTCAGTTTCATCCTGCATGAGTTTGAATATATTAACCCGACTGTTTTTTGAGAATGATGCAGTTATAGAGAGGTGGAGTGAAAACGCTGCTGCTGCTGCTGCTGCTGCTGCTCACACAGAAGTCTGATGGTGTTTGTAGAAAAGTTTAATCCCTCAGATTCAAACTTTTTCAAACTTTTTTGTCTCATGAGATCTTGTCTGAAACGTTTGATGAGATTGTTATAATAGATAGAGCTTGGATTAAAATTATACAAAGAGGAAACCCTTTATGACGATGATCCAGAAATAACAGCAACTCGTTTTTTTGATCTTCTTTTTGGAAATCTTGGACGCTGCATCCTCGGCTCTAACTCAACAAACATTCATCCTCTTACTTCATACTTTCAACTCTCAGACACAACTGTTTCATCTCAGTGGGTTCTTGCTTTTTCATATCCTTGTAGCCCAGAAAATCTCTAACCCGAGCAGAGGTCCAGATCGGCCACGATAAAAAGGATTCAGTGGAAAGGATTGAAAGGGTTGACATTTATATTCACTTGTCGTCTTTTACAGTAATGTTGTGCTGCAGAAACAGTGGTTTCTTGAGGATTCATATTTACTAGGGAGACCATACGCCCTCTTTTACTCGGACATGTCCTCTTTTTGGGGGCTGTCTGGCCTTTGTCTGGGGGAGTTTAGAAAATCCTTCAAATGTTCGGGGTTGTGTTTGGAAGTTTTGAGTTTGTGTCGCGTGGACTTGCTGAGTTAGAAGCGCGTAAAAAAAAAACACTCGATTCAACCCGAAAAACTCTCAAAATTAACCATGCGTGACTCCATGACTCCGCCCCCGCATAGTCATGTCCTCTTTTTAGGGATTCAGAATATGGTCACCCTATATTTACAAGTATTCTTGTTTCTGTAACCGGTAACTCCAAAATGTTGAGTACGGTTGGGTATCATTTGGATTTGACCGATTCCAAGTCCAATTCTGATTCTCAATATCAATTCCTGCTCTAAACGATTCTCGATTCTGATTCTTAGAGATGAGTCAACAGGTCACAGTCTTTGGGTATTGTTAGGATTTTACGGATTCTAAGTCTAATTCTGATTCTGATTCTCAATATCGATTTTGTTCTAAACAATTCTTGATTCCGATTCTTTGAGATGGAAGTCAACAGGTCAAAGTTTGAAAAAGCCTGAACACGGGCCGAGTTTTAGGGATTGGTAGTCTATAACTTTAGCAGATTTCTTAAGAATGAGACAACCGTAATTTTCACTGAATGGATTCTGTTTGCGATGAGGAGTTGCTGGCTGATGATGAAGGTTGACTGTCTGAAGTGGAGGAAGCAGCGGGAGCAGGAGAGCGACTGGACTTACTTGGGACGTTTCACCATCCCAAGTAAGTCCAGTTACCCTTTCAATGAAGAACTGGAAATCATAGATTGTGCATCTTCAGTTTTAAGCATAATGCTGAACAATATCTCCAGATGATGAAGGTTGACTGTCTGAAGTGGAGGAACAAACGGGAGCAGGAGAGCGACGCAACGAGTTAAACACAGTTCGCTCCATGCAGGCGAAGGTGTTTTGTCATGTTTGTCGTGGATCCTCCTTTGGCAGAAATTGTTTTTTTGCCGATGTTGTTATGTTCTACTCCGTCCTTCTCTTTCAAAACCAGCGTTTTTTTGCGGTCCATGTTTAGACGAGTGATGTTCTTGCCAGCATATGCCTAGTGGAGTAATAGACGCCCCGAAAACAAACTAGTGCGGACCCTCGGAACTGGAAAAAAGAATCGAAATTCAGAAATCTGTGTAGTGGTTACAAAACCGGACGGTAGGAGCCGGTTCTCGGGACCAAACCCTAGTGTTGAGGCATCTTTTGACTATTTTTTAATTTACTTACACCAAATGAATTACTGTAGTCATATTTCCAAACAATCAGCACAAGGTCTCTCAGCTCCTTCCTCCTCAGATCTAGCCGACAATCTTGCAGGATGAAAAGAGGTTTAAAAACCACGCTGAAGTCAAAGTGAAGCTACTGTACGCTGCTAATAAAAAAAGTCTTTATGTTGCCTCCATGGAGACCGTGACATATTGAATTTGAGTTGTTAACCTTTAGTTGAAGGTGCTGAGATTTTCTCTCGCAGCACAAAGACTCGTCCTTGGAGCGTTCGGCAGAACTCCAGCCTTAGAAAATGCGGTCTTTTCATCTCATCTGTGCCGAGCTGCCGCTGAATGGAGGTCCTTTCAGTCATCCTCACATGCGAAAGCACGCCCCGGGTGTGAATCAAACACGCATTTCAGCCGGCCGATTTCAATGAGGACAGGCAGAGATCCAGATAGGACTCTGGACAAATGACCGTCCTCATCAGCTGAAGCTTAAGATGACGGATGAGACCTGAGCTGATCAATCAGCTCCAAAACGACGCCGTTCATCATCTTTTGTCATTCGAAAGAAAGAAGTGTCATCCATCAACTCGTCCGACCACATTCATCATCTATTTTTATATTTGGTGCCATTACTACCCCCCAAAAAAAAACACCATTTCAGAAGATGATTGTACAGATCAAACAACTTTAAAAAAACAAATCTGGGTCACCATCATCCCGATGTCGGCCTCAGCAGTCGCTCTCGGATGTGAATGCGTCTGCAGGGAGATTTGTAGCGTTTGAAGGCGACGGCTGAGCACGTAACCTTCCTCCCTTCTGCTAACCTGATGGGAGTCATTACTGCGGATTGACATATGGGTAAGCTATGCTTCAGGAGGAAGCCATCTGGCACAATGTTTTCTGGCAAGCCTTCGCGTTTACAGCACACAAGACGGTCTTTTTATATCCGGGGAAATAATGTTCATTTGGCAGCTTCATTGCTGAACCCGTACCTGTGTGTACAAATTAAATCTCTTTGAAAACATCAACTCAGGAAAACAGAATTATCTTGTTTTTAGTGTTTTTGACATTGTGTTAACAGTGTATGGCATTTTAAGAAGATCATTAAAGTATTCAGGGTCAGTTTGGCGGGACGATGTCCTGCAAAGATAAGAAAAAAACAAAGAGTGGTTTTTATTTGCACTTTTTCAACTCTGACCCCAATCCTCAAAAAAGTTGGGATGCTGTAACGTGATAATTTGCACATCATCTCGAACTTATAATCAAATATTTATTTATTTTATATTTATTTAACTGAACTGTTTTGTGCAAAAAAAGAAGTTGAGACAAGGACCACAAAAAAACCTGGAGCAACATCTCCAAACGAATCAGGGTGGATGTGCAGCAGGTTGGTCACATGACTGGGTTTGAAACAGTCGTAAAGTCGGAGTTGACTGGTCGACTTATTGGTCACGTCAATTTACAGTCTATGGTTAATTTCATCCGGAGGAACGTACCAAGTGCTGATGGGGGTGTTTTCAGAGCACCCCCTTTTCACAGGTAACAGCTTGTCCCAGAACACCCCCTTGTTTCCATCGTTTTTGGATTCGCCCAACCCACTGGAGACCGGCTGGAGACAGGAAGATTGAAGAGCGTCCAAGTTAATTAACATCCGGTGGTTTGCTGAATATGTTTATTTGTGTTTAATTGCCTGCGAGCCGCGCTCCGCCGAGCCACGCCCCCCACCTCCCACGAATAAGTCGATTTTTGGTGGAAAATTTCAGGGTTTTACTCGACCAAGCATTTCTTCCCCCTTCGTAGTTCAAAGGGGGAAGAGTGGGAAGAGTTTCACCGCACTTATACGGCAAAACCAGCGACCTCTCCTGGCCGAAGATGTCCTGACAAGTCTGTGAAGGCTCTGTTAATGCTGAACAATATCTACAGGTTTAGAAGCATCAGGACTCTGTAGTTGGAGTCACCGTATTGGCTGAATATCACTTGGGCGTAGTATCACACTCTTTTGGAAAAGGCAACTGGATTTAGGCGAAACGTCCCAAGTAAGTCCACTTGTCCTTTCAACGAAGAACTAGAAATCATAGATGCTGCATCCTCAGTTTTAAACAATATCTCCAGATTTAGGAACAACATCTGCATCCATCCAGACGAAGACTTTTTCAGGGAAGACCTTCATATGATCCCAAACCATGCTACTAAGAGCCATAGATTTGTTTTTACTGCGTATATCTATCTTTAAATGATAATGAAGCTAACTGGCTCACTATCATTAAAAGCTAAAATGAAGATGATGGTAATAATAGATTAAACTCTTTGTTTTAACAACCCTGTCAGCCAAAATGATGGAGTGAAAGTGTCGTGAATCCAAACGTCTGACGGCTCTGAAGAAGAAAACCAAACTTACTAATTATAACACTGAATAAACAGCTGTGTTACATATTCATAGAGTGTGTGTGTGTGTGTGTGTGTGTGTGTGTGTGTGTGTGAGTGTGTGTGTGTGTGTGTGTGAGGTGGATAAATCATCTGTCTCTTCAGGAGGAAAAACTCAGCAGGATATCAGGATCAGAGTTTTCGTTCGTGTTTTAAATTTACACTTAAGTTCGTTCAGCTTCTTAAAAAAGCGTTTCTCCGTCTGCAGATCAGAGGTTAGACTATCCTTCATGCCGCGCTCCACCCGATCCTTCACTGTCACTCTATTACATACATGGCTGACCATGCCTGACATATAGGTCTGAGCGGAGGGCCGGCACAAACAGAGCAGCGAGTAAACACCTGAAGAAGAGAGTCTATACGGGCCTCATGGTGCGGTGTTTGTCTGTGGAGCTAAAGGAAATGAGTCCGCCTCTCCTCCTGGTTAAAGTTTTTCTTTGAACGAGTGGAAACTGTGATCACGAGGAGACTCACGCTGAGCTCCAGCTTAGCAGTTGGTGTTTATGACTGCTGAGTAAACACTGTGCTTATTGAGAAGAGCCCACACACCTGGTCAGTTCGGGATAAATAAAACCTGGCAGATGGTTTTCGATGGCTGGTTGTGTCCTTTCTCCCTCCACACAGCTGCTGCTCTGTGTTCCTGTTACTGCTGCTGTCGAACTTCAGTCGCCTTAAACCTGCACCCTCCCTTTTTTTAATGATCGGTGTGTATCAACAGTTTGGACTAGCTTCAGTCGATTTCTGCAGGTTGTAAATAACTTGGTGGACACTTATTTCCTGTTGAATGAACGCTCAGAGTTCTGGTTTTCATGTCCGGTTGTTTTTCTGTGTCTGAAAGAAAGAGTTTATTTAAAGACGGCAAAATTATCGGTATCTTCTGAGAGAGAAGATAGTTTGGGTGTTGGTTTTTGTGACTCTAAAAACCAACATTTCAGCTTTTCCCCTTAAAGTTTAATTCCCACTATTTACTCCTTCATCATTTTTGTGCAGAAAATAAAACATATATGGAAGTAAGGAAAAGCAAACGCCCCTGAAAAATCCTCTCACATAATCTCTCTCATAGGACACCCTTAATCTGGATCTCCATCTCCCTCTCTCTCCTCTTTAACACTAAATTTCCACCGCATCCGGAATGACTCCGCCACTGAATGGCAGCAATTTTTGCCGTCCGCCGATTCCCATTGGATGCGTTTGTCGGGAGAATTTCTGGCTAATTTCAGACACCGGGAATCGCGAGAACTTACATTCAGTCACACAATAACGAGTTGTCTCTATAAGGACGGCCTCATAGACATATAAGCAGTAGATTGTGTCCTTCCAGAGGAGGAAATCTACTTCTAGACTTCTAGAATCAGCATCTTCTCATCCATGGTGTCATCGGGGTGAAATGACATCTGAAAACCTGCCAACGTTTGCATGGTGTGAAATACGATCCTCCTGAAACAGGGAGTGTTTTATTTTGAAAAGAAGCTGAATGTTTTATTTTGTGTCTGTGCCGGACTTCCTTTCCAGCACGGGTTAATCTGTGCTGAATTTATGCGGCATGCTGCGGGGTCTGGAAAAAATAGAACTCTGGCGATCGGCTGCAGAGTCCGCTGAATTGCAGGGGCTGGAAATAAGCCGGTGGAATTTGACGCTTTAACTTGGATGGAAACGATCAGCGGCGATCGGCGCCGACGGCCTTTTCCCCGCCGTTCTAGATGTGGTGGAAATCAGGGGTAAACCCAACTTAGTCTCGACTGATGTTTGTCTAACAACAGTCTGGTTCTGCTCGAGGTTTCTGCCGTTAAAGGAAGTTCTTCCTCTCCACTGTCACTTGAAAAGTCATGATGCGGATTGTGAAAAACGAAAAAGTCAGGATTTGTCAGGTCTGTCATCAAGAGGAGTAAAGACACAGTTGGGTGTTTTGTTTGTTAAATGGAGGTTTGATCGATTATTTCTGATGCTTTTCAGGAAGTTTTGAGATCTAAAAGCTGATTGGCTCACAGAGGAAAACCTGGACATCAACAAAAATTGGATTTCCCAGTCTGCTTCATCCAGAGAAACATTTTGAGCCTCAAAACCACAAAGAAGATGGCTTTAAAACTGAGACTCTTACCTCCTTCTTGGTCTGACTTGTGGACTTGTGGAGGATAGGGGAGGGCGGGGACGGCCGGGGTGACCTTGTCCTTATCTGGCCCGGCCTCCTTTTTCTCCACAGAATGAAGTAATTCATCTTAGGAGAAAGACCTGCGCTCAGATGCCTCTTTCTTCCCTCTCCATTAATAAGTTTGTCTCTGTTTCAGGTCCATGAAGGTGCAGTTTTGTGCGACTCTGAGTGTGTATTTGTGTGTTTGTGTGTGTGATGGACAGAGAAACAGCCGCACAGTCCTCCGTGTCCATAATTCAGGCCGGTCGCTGGGCCTTTGCCCCCTATTTGCCCTTCAAACAGCATCCCGCCTCTCACAGATCACCATGGCAACAGGGCACACACTCAGGACAAAGCAGCAGAGGATATGAAAAGGATTACATAAGGGAAATTTAGATGAAAGTGGGTTTGGTATTAAAATCAACTCCTGACAGACATAATTGCGATTGATGAAAACAGCAGAGCCAGAGAAGCTGCGGCTGAAAAACGGATAAATGTGGATCTGAGCGAAAACATGAAGCCCACTCTGGTTTTCTTTAGCAGATTTTACCACTTAGATTTGATGATTTTGGAGAAGGCTTTAAGAATGAGATTAGCTGAAGAAGAGAAGAAGAAGAACAGCCTTGAAACTTGGGGAAAGGAGTTGCTGTGAGTAATGAGTCATCCTGCGAAGAGAGCGCTTCATAAGACGACTCCACTTGAAAAGGTGGAGAGAGGATCAACTCCACGGTCCTTATTCTACGTGGTCGTGTTTATTACAGAGCAGTCACTTCCAAACTCACGCAGAAACAGAGTGAATGAAGCTCTGCAGATGTTTCCTCTGAGAGAGCCAAACCAGAATAATCAGCTCTGTGATCCGCTCTAACTTTGACGTGTGCCTGAGACGCAGCAGGACAGAGGATGACACCTCACATCAGCGTCTCTTCTGCTCACTGACCTGTCCTGTCAGCTCTCCTGTCTTTGAAGAGAGCCTGTATCTGTTTGATCTGTTCGAAGCATCTGGGATACCTGAATGAGTTCGACTAAATACAAAATGAAAACACTGAAATCATGAGAGGAAGTGTCGGGATGAAACAGGAAGCTTCTTCCTTTGGAGAAGATCGCAGATTGCACGGTCGGTCATAGTCGACCGCTGACTCCTGAAGCTTCACAGGTTCTTCAAAGTACGACGTGTTTATTTTTTCAGATGCTGAAACAAGTTTGTAGTATAAGTATCTTCAATACCAACCTCCATCATGGGAGTGAGGATGAACATCAGGTGTAAAAAGTAGAGGTGTTCCAACAATTGTACCTCACGATTTGATTCAAATCGATAATAGGAGCTTTGATTCTTCGATTATTGCCATTTTTGATGCTTTGTTCCATACAAGATTGATTTTGTCTTCATCTGTTGCTACATTTGTAAGACTAGAAAAGCACTCGGAGAGCACAGACCTCCGCCAAGCAGCTCATGTCCCCCCTTAAACAAGAAATGCCCGGCAACAGTGCTAACCACTACACCACTGTGCCGCCCATCTTCACCACTGTGCCGCCCATTGGTTATCTTTCAGCATTGACAATTCCAACGACAGCCTTATTTTTGTGTGTTCTGGATCACAGTATCCAGAATTTTCCGGATCACCACCAAAATGTAATGGGATCCTCCTGGGGCTGAGACGCAACTCTGGTGAAAATTTCAGGTCAATTCGTTTGTTACTTTCTCCGTAAAGTTGCTAACAGACAAACAAACAAACCAGCGCTAACGAAAACATAACCTCCTTGGTGGAGGTAAAAATACCCTTTCAATTAACTCAATTCCTCTAAAGCTACACTCAATAAGTAAATACGTTTTGTGAACATTTGAATTGAAAAGACACAAAATATTTGATTTTATGACTGTTATACAAACATTGGCACTTTTACCTTCTTAACTTAAACCGGGAAGTTTGGAGACAGTCTCCAGGATGGTCGTCTGTGTGGCGGGTACACCGGTCAAGCCTTCTCTGTTTGGGGATGAAAGCGTACACGGTGCTGCCTCGTGTTTGCGGTGTTGCTGAGTTACTTTATTTTAAATCGCGTAGGTCTCGTCAGTTGTCTTGTTTCCTCTCTCATAAAATCTAAAGTTCTTCCACACGGTGGCGAGAAAATCGACCGCTTGTTGGAGGCTGCTGAAGCTGTTGCCATTTTGCAAAGAAACTAACGCGCTCTGTTTGTTGTGGTCCCACTCACTAAACTGTCCGGTTGGCGCGTGCGTTAAGGTTTCGGTTACGTGTTTCTTTAATTAATTTTAAGCATCAATGTTAATCAATCGATGCCGAATCCTCACGTTCATCCTCATCGATGAACTGCACCTTCCTCTAGTAAAGAGTGTGCGCTTAGTTCATGCTTCAAAACAATAAACTGTTTAAAAGATGGATTTACTCTCAGGGCGTTTTACTGGTTTATAAAGCAGAGTACTGAACGGTCATTTTAATGTTTACGCTGCAAAAACATTAAGAGACTAAAAACAACAGTCACATGACCAGCTAACACTCTTTGTTACTATATCTGAACACTTGATGTTTCCTCGGGTTCTGGTCACAGCGGTGATGGTTATCCTCCGGAGAGGACGCTCTCTTCACAGCTGTGAACGTGTGTTTCTCAGAGATAAGTGCGCCTTCATGTAACATACATGTCAGATAATTGTGAGATAAGTGCCTGTGTGTGTATACCAGTGTGTGCATGTTCAGTTTGTAGTGTTTGTTTAGGATCTTTTAATCTCAGCACATGACTCCCACTCCCTATCAAGGTTATCAAATTGGATGTCCCAGCATGCTCTCTGTTGAAGTGTGTGCACCAGGCTGTTTCTTCCATCTAAACCTCCTCCAGTTAGCCTCAGTGTTTACAGAAGTGGCCACATAATGTCATTTCCCATCATTCATATTTGCGCTCCACTGTTTATTGATTATATCACAATGTAAAAGGACTTGGCTGTAACAGGATATGTTGATTAATGCGCCCATTTTGAGTGTGGCACACTGTACAGTTCACTTTGATTAAATAAATACACTCCAAACATGCAGCAGCAGCAGAAACCTTATAAATCAAAATTACATACAAAACAAATTCACGAGCTGCACATGAAACAATGTGCTGCAGAAAAACATGCATGAATATCAAACATAAAGCAGAGTCAGAAACCAACAACACACGCAAAAGACGGACTTCAGCCAGAGGTGCAACGATTGTTCAACGCTGTTCATAAAAATCATGATATGAGGTCAAGAAAAATATCCTGATAATGATGTGGCAATAATTAAAGGTGGTGTAGTCAGGATCTGATGAAGTTCAAGTTTTTAGGAGAAATCTTGAATGTAAACTGTACTCCTCCCAACCAGTTTCCCCCTCAGCTCCTCCTCTCCCCTCCCTTAAGCCCCGCCCACAAACAGACGCTCCTGCTCGCTCGTATCGTTCCAATTAAATTCAGATATAATGCAGATAAATACTTCAGATAATTACAAATGGGGCCCAGTCAAGGTGAAAGTCAAAAGCATTGGTGCTACTGTAGATGCCAACAGACTACCAGCAAACACAATGTTTGCAGGACTTCTACAACGAGGATAAAGTGACATAGTCCAGGACCCGAGGGAGGACAGTTTAGCGATGGCGCTACAACACGCTACAGCAGGTCCGTTTGACAAGAAACACTTCTGTTACAGACACTTGTCTTACTTTGTTAAAGCGGTTTACCTGTCCAGCAGAAAGGTTACAGGGTCACCAAGATCCCCAAGCGTCCCCCATCGTTTATGTTGACCCGGCTTTTTAGCTCTTGTCCGGTCTACCTCTGTTTTAAGCGCCCGTTATTCCTCCAGAGTCTCCGGTATTTACTTTGTTTTCTTGCTTGTGTCGGCAGTCGTGGCCAAAGGAGGATTCAGACAATTTTCCGAACTTTCTGGTTGGTTTCTGCTGTCCGATATTGTAGCACGCTAACTTTGTTTGGGCTCGTGAACGTTATTTGAGGACGTGGAGCGGGCCTCACACCAATCAGGTTGGGGGAGGCGGAGAATGGCTTTGTTTACAGCCAGAAAGAGAAAATGTTGACTACACAGGCGTAAGAGAACACAGCGATATCATGATATTCCCAAATGTCATCAATAACTAATATCTATTGACTGATATTAAAAGTTTTTTTGTAAACACACCTTTAAATAATCAGTCAAACTAAGAAAAGGCAAGACAAGAGTGCAAATCTGAAACGAAGATCGGGGTAAATGCTTGTTAATATTTTGTCATAAACAGTTTCCTTCCAGATTTCTATGTAAAATATTCAGATGAATCTCAGTCTGAATTTGTTTTACTGCCTGAAGTGAAAATCAGCTTCCTCAGTCACAGTCCACATACCTCAACTAAAGCATAAAAAAAGCCGCTTTATCGTGTATCTAGTTTCTCTCCGGCCACATTTTGACCGACTTCTCTTCAACCTGCAGAAAAGTGTGGACCCATTGTTCAGTAAATGCGCTCCCTCCCTCTCGTCTCCTCTCTGTTTCATCTCCTCCTGTCTCTCTTTATTCTCGATTTCACCCGTCCACTTCTGCTCGTCACGGTCCTTTCAGTCTTTCACTTTGAGTCTCCTTCTATGCCTCCTCCCCCCAGCTCTTGTTCCCTCACTCCTCTTTCCTCTCTTCCTTCAGGTGAGGCGGCTCTGACCTCGACTAAGACTGGTCCTCATCGCAGACACAGACCCATCAAAATGTAAATGACGACAGGTGGAGGAGGAAAAGTGAGAGTGGGAGTGGGTGCGTCGTGCGCCCGATGAGCCGTGCCTCCAGGGGCCGACCGAATCGATTTGTGGCGCGGTCTTCCCAGAAGGCAAATGGCCGATATCTGATGATGTCACCGCTATCTCCTCTCCTGGCTGGCGTGCTACCACCGGCGCTCTCAGCGGGTCACACTGGGAGGGTTTAATGGAGATAATAGCCGGCTTTGTGGCAGTGAAACTGTCATCAGTGCTGTTTCTTTCTTATTCCTCTCCTCCATGCTGAAGTAATAACACGTTTCTGAGTTCCTCTGAATGCTTCACTGACCTTTTCCTCCAGCCTATTTCCACCATCTCCGCTAGATCCTACCAATTTACCAAAAAAGTTTGAGACTGAGCTGACTCAAGACAGTTTGGTTTTCGGGCTTCGTGCAGAAACTTCAACTTTTTAATGAACCAAAACCTGAAGCGGGTATTTTCACTGTACTTTTATAATGAGCAGAAACTTCGGCACCATTTTTTTTTGGCATTTTCTGTATTTAACAATAAAACAGCTACAGAGCATTTGTTCTATTACAACCTGCAGTTCAAACAAGATTAAAATCAAGATTAAAGATTTTTTCAGAAAAGTGATCATCTTCTTTGTTCAGCTCATCCAATACTGTAAACAAGAAGTTGACGTTAAAGAGGGTTGAAACACTTGTACTGCCAACAAATTTGGTAAACATTAGCCAAGTGGAGAACTTAAAAGTTTGGCATTAGTTTTATTTTAAAGGGATATTGCGGCGTAAATTTAAGTTATGGTCGAACACACCGTAACACCGAGTCTGTTCTTCTGCCTTAGTGTCTCAGTCCGATTGCATTTCCATGAAGTAATAATCATAAATGTTCTTCCTTGAGCTGCGAAACTCCGCTGCACTCTGTGATCGACTCGTCAGGGCTGCCCCACAAACAAGCGGCTGCTGGAGGAGAGTAGGTGAGTTGTGTTTGGTCTCTTTGCTAAAGTTGGTATAACTAAAGAAGCAAGCCTTGAGGGGGTGTCTAACTCGGTGTTACGGTGTGTTTGACCATGACTTAAATTTACGCCGAAATATCCCTTTAACTGCTCAAAGAAAATTCGAGGAGTTAAGCCTCTGTAGTTTATTCAAACAGAGATTTTTTTTTTTTTGTCTTGGCAGGCAACTGTATTTCAAAAGAGCCATTACTTAACTGGAGGAGAATGTGTAACTTAAAAATGCAAATTTCTAAAGTTCGTAGTTCGGATCTTCTTTTTTGTTGATTGTTAGAAAAAGATTAAGGGCTTTTATTTTGAAGGCAGGTTACTGAATAAAAATGAGAAATACCAGTAAGTAAACACTTTGGGAGGAATAATAGTCAGTACAACAGGGCAGCTAAAGTTACTTGTTTACATGCAGCTGCGCTAGCATAGTCAAGAAAGCATAGTCCGGAAATGAGCTTATGTTGTCGACCGTGGTTACTTTCTTTAATGCACTGTGTGTCATTAAATTAGGGTGACCATACGCCCTCTTTTACCCGGACATGTTCTCTTTTTGGGGGGACTGTCTGGCCTTTTCCGGGGGAGTTTATAAAATCCTTCAAATGTCCGGCGTTTTGTCTGGGGGTTTTAAGTTTTTATCTGCCTCCACTTTTGTTTGATATCGGTGAGATCGGTTCATTCAGCTTCGGCTCTTTTTTGCAGATTATTCCAAGTAAAGGTTGATGCAGATTTAACGTTTGTGTCCAAATCACGTCACAAAGTTTCACAAAGTTATTCTCTGTGATATTTTACAGTTTGCTGCTCCCTGTTGACCTTTAATAAAAGACCCTGCTCTCTGTAAACGCAGTCAAACCTCGACTCAAACCTGAACTGCTCTAGCAGGAGGAGGCAGGTGTCTGAAAAGCCAAGGGACAGAGACATAATGACACATCAGCTTGTACTTATCAGAAACGCCACTTTTGAAGGTCACTGTCGCAGTGCTGAACAAATAAATGAGATTGGTTCATACCACAGAGAAATCCTGACTCTGTTTTCTTTCACACAAAGTTATTTGATCCATTGATTTCATCAAATGTCTGATGTTGTCCTGAATCCCGTGTGAACAGAGTAAATGTTAAGATATCAGGCTGAAAGTTTATTTTCCAAGAGTGAGGTCCGCGGTCCATCATCCGGACTCTCCTGGCTCTAATGATTCAGCTCAAGTCCTCTTTCATTCCGGAGTTTTCTCCTCCCCGTCTGAAAAGGTCTGAGGGCCAGAGGCTCTGTGTGTCGTGTTTCCTCTCAATAATCTCCCGCCTGCCCTCGTCATAGCCGCGGATATTTTCCCGTGATTAAAATTCAGATTTGTGACAAATTAATTCAGAAACCACCTTATCTATCAGACCTCTGCTGACCTCTGTCAGCGACCAGTGGAAACAGATGAAATCAGAGGGGTCGCCTGTGACTGAGCGGAGCGCCGGAGCGATAATCATCCAGGATCCCCTCAGTCACACACGCAGGAAAAGACTCACAGTCATTGACTCTGAAGCGAAACTATTTTTTCAGTATTTATGAATGACATTCAAAGTGTGATTTATATCGTCTTCTTAGTGATTGTGAACCAACATTATCGATTATTGTCTCCTTTCAAAGACTGTCCAAGTTTTTGATTCATTATCAATTATCATCTTCAAGTAATAAAACTAAAAAGAAAAGGAGGATGTTGAAGAAAAAGTAAAGAAATATAGATTGAAGCTAGATCTAGTGGATTAACTGGATTTTGCCAAACTCGAAGATTCTCATTAGTTTTATTGTACAAATATTTTTTCCCATGTTTCAATTTTTTGAACGATTTATTCTGTTTGTCTCACTATGTTTTTCCCTCTTTCTGTTTTTCAGACAAAATATTCTTGTTTTTCGTTTTTTTTTTTCTTTTAGTCTTTCTTTTTTTCTGACTAATTTTTTCTCTCCTGTTTTTGAACTAATATTTTTTTCCCCTCTTTCTGTTTTTCATACAAATTTTTATCCTGTTTTTCTGACTTTTTTTTTTTTTTTTTTGCTTTTTTCTGTTTTTTGGACTATTTTATATGTTCTGTTTTTTGTCCTAAATTCTTTCCCCCTCTTTCTTTTTTTTCGGAAAAAAATGTCTTCTGTTTTTCATACTATTTTTCCCCTCTTTCTGTTTTTTTTGTACAAATTTTTATTGTTTTTTTTTTTTTTTGGACAATTTTTTTTTCTGAGCTAATATTTTTTTCCCTTCTTTCTGTTTTTCAGGCAAAGTTTTATTCTGTTTTTTGTACTTTTTTTTTCTTTTTTGTCTCTGTGTTTTTCCTGACTAGGTGAGACACTTCAAAATCCTGCGAGAATCTCATACATCAGATAACGTTAACCACCGCGGCTGCTCCACATCAGCGGATTCTCCAGCTCCTGGGTAACTTCGACTACAGGGTCAATGACAGTAAAGCATGTAATTAGTTAAACATAGGGTCTGCAAAGTAGACAAACTTATGAAGATTCCATCTAGTAATGGAAGTAAAAGTCATTAAAACTTAATTAAACTAAAGAAGTGGGCCATGTTTGCTTCCATTAAATCGAGCAGAGGGGGATGAAAGCGTCTGTTTTTAAATGATCATGATTCCAGAGAAGAGGAAATACAATTAATCTAAAAAAACAAACAAATGCTTCCGTAGTTCAGAGTTCAAAAACAGTGGACAAGTTTTCCACACGAGTAAGAACGAAGCTTCAGTTTAATAGTTTTAATGACCCAGCAGTAAAAGAGTCTGTAAATGAGTCTGCTGTGACTAAATAAAGTGAGTTTGATAAGTCAGACCTGATACAGACTGACGCTCCTCCCTGTAGACCGCTCCAGTTCCTCAAACTAAAACGAAGTCAGCTCCACAGACTGACGGGACAGATTCCCTCTCTTCTCTGCATCCTGTAGGAATTGTTTCGGAGCTTTTAAGGAGATTAAAACAGACGACGACACGATGAGCTTCAACTGTAAGATCCTGTGAAACGCTGCCGGGTTAACAGCGAGCTACCTGTCTGAACGATGGAGGTAATCCTCTTTTAGAGCGTGAGTCAGGTTTTAAACAGAGAAAAAAACTAACCCTGAAGTTTTATCATGTAAAATGTTAAAGATTTAAAACAGAAAAACCAGGACCAACCAGAGATCTGAGCTAAGATCTCCTCCTACCACCTGGAGCTGCAACACTACAGCTCCCATGAGCGCCACCTGCACACATATACTGTTGCGTTCTGCACTCACACCTGCTGCAGGTGTTCAGACGAGTGTTTATGACTCAGGTGTTACTCCTCCTGTTGGATATGAACCTGCTATTATCGCTGTTTGAAAGTAACGAACCTCGTCAATATGCAGATTAGTTCTTGTGATACGACAACTTTTGAGGCTGGTGAGCAAAGAGAGTTCAGATCAAAATGTTCAATATCAGCGTTTGCGTGCAGGACTCAGCCTTCAGTGTACAGCTGCATGTCCTGTGTTTGTGTTTGACCTGCAGGATGATTCATGAATAACTCGATTTACACTGAATTTATTTGAATCTTAAACTGATTTGTGTTTCAGAGAAAATGAAGTCTCCGACGCTCGGCTGTTTTGAGTCAATTCCTCCACTTTCACAGGAGCGAAAAACCGTCGACAGCTTAAAGCTCGACGCCTCGTTTGCATAAAACCTGAGGGGGATCAGAGAGTGTTTCTCATGCTGCTGCAGCTAACAGACTTTGTATGCGCCCCGTTAGGACGCCGCACTTAGCCCTCTGTTGATGCAGATGTTTGGCCCTGAATTCTGCACATCCAATCTCCATGCATTATGTTTTTTAAATGGGTTGTTGTCTGAGCCAGGCTTCGGTTATTGCGGCAATCACGGCGCCTAACTGTTTCGCCGTCTTTCATCTCTATCTCTGTGCTTTCTCTCTGAGACCTCGCCTCCCCTGGTTCAAGATTCATTACTGTGATTATCTCCGTGCTGCTCGTCTCACTTCCTGTGTATGCAAACACACACACACACACACACACACGAGATTAAAACATCATAAAGCACCGCAGATAACAGAAATGATGATACTGTACTGTTGATTCAAGCTGCTATGACTCTGAAGAACAATCAACAAACACACACATACACACTGTAAATGTCACCATCCCCGCCGCCGCCGCCACCACCACCGCACACGCTTTATTACTCAATCTCTTCCCATTACAGAGCGTCTCCTGCTGTGGAAGTCATCTGAAGGTCTTCTTTAAATCTCCTTACTTCATTACCTGCAGCCTGTGACCAGCCGGCCCCGCACATCATTATCAGGCCCAACGCTTCGCTCCACAACATTTAGCAGCCGCTGCGTTCCAGCAGCTGATTTTACTATTTCAGTCGGAGGG